GGTGATACCAGGAGGCAAAGGAGTCAAGTACCACTCCTGGAACGTGAACTCAAGCCGCCTTCTGACCCCAAAGCCCAGGATCTTCCCATAATGCTCTGCAGCTCTTCTTCTGGAGCCCAGGACATTGCTGAAGGCCAGCCCTTGTGCAGGACACAAAGCAGCTTCCCAGGACTGGGATGAAGTTCTGTCTCTATATACCCTGTATTACCTAGTACAATGCAGGACACAGAGAAAAGAGTGATCATCCTTTTAAATTCAGGTATAATTGACATATAGATGTCACTATATATATATATTTTTTTCAACGTTTATTTATTTTTTTTGGGACAGAGAGAGACAGAGCATGAACAGGGGAGGGGCAGAGAGAGAGGGAAACACAGAATCGGAAACAGGCTCCAGCCATCAGCCCAGAGCCTTGACGCTGCCTCGAACTCCACGGATCAGCGAGATCGCGTGACCTGGCTGAAGTCGGACGCTTAACCGACTGCGCCACCCAGGCGCCCCAGATGTCACTATATATATATTATATACTATTATGTACATTTCACATACAACAAAATGATTTGACTTTGTATATTATGTAAAATGATCATCACAATAAGTGGCACAAACGTTACCATATATAGTTACAAAATAATTTTCTTGTGATGAGAACTTTTAAGATCTATCTGTTTTAGCGACTTTTAAGTACACAATACAAAATTATTAGCTATAGGCACCATGCTGTACATCACATCCCCATCATTTATTTTATAACTGGTGGTCTGTACCTTTTGACTTTCTTCACCCATTTCACCACCATCCACCCACCCAAACCTCTGGCAACCACCAATCTGTTCTCTGTATCTATCAGCTTGATTTTTTTTTTTTTTTTTTTAGATTCCATCTATAAGTAAGATCATATGGTATTTGTCTTTTTCTGACTTATTTCACTTAGCATAATGCCTTCAAGGTCTAGCCGTGTTGTTGCAAATGGCAAGCTTTTATTCCTTTTTTTTTTTCATGGCTGAATGATATTCTATATATCCTTTATGTATCCATCAGTGGACACTTAAATGGTTTCCGTATCTTGGCTATTGGAAATAATGCTGCAAAGAACGTAGTGGGAATGGTGATGGTGGTGCATATATCTTTTCAAGTTGGTGTTTTCACTTTCTTTGGCTAAATACCCAGAAATGGAATTGCTGGATGGCAGGGTAGTTGTGTTTTTAATTTGTCAAGGACCCTCCATACTGTTTTCCATTGTGGCTGCATCAATTTCCTACCCACAGTGCACAGGTGTTCACTTCTCTCCATAACCTCATCAACACTTGTTATTATCTTTAGGATAATAGCTATTCTAACATGTGTCAGGTGATATTCATCAAGGTTTTCATTTGCATTTGAAAACACCACAGGTTTCCCACAGATTTGACTATGCTGTATGCCCTCCAGATAGATACTCCACCTCATTCCAAATCCCCACTCTCACGTGGTTCTATTCTGGCTCTTTCCGCATTCTCCAGGTCTCCTGAACATTCCTTCTCTCTCTAGCTCTCAGGAATTTTAATTGACTCAGATTAATTCAGAGCCACAGTTGGGAGTGGGGTAGAAAGTGTTAAGCACCCCACCGCCCACCGCCACTTCTTCACTCATCGCACACGTTGGCTAAGAGCTAAAGAATCACGGGCTTTGTTTTTCCACCTCTACAACTGGTGGAGAACCACCGGCTGGCTTCAACGCTTCGCACGTTAAGTGCCTGGGACAGCAAAACCTTGCAAAATTACCAGTCCTCCCCTGTTGGTTCTTACAGCGCCTGCGCAGAAGCCAGTGCACAAGCTTGGCGCTGTTGAAGCCCACCTCCGCCCTTCTCGCCCTCAGAGATTCGGCGCTCGACAGGCGTCTGTCAGGCTGCCTTCCGGTTTCGGTGCCGCGCAGGCGCGCCTGCCGAGCGTCGAGCAACTGATGGAGATGGCGGCCGCGGCTGGGTGAGGGACCGCAGAGGCCCAGAACCCCGGCGGGAGGAGCCGACGGGCCTGCGTGCCAGGGGGAGCGCGGCCGGGTACAGAGGGCCGGGAAGGGTCTGAGTGGCGGAAGCTCGGCTCACCTGAGGAACAGAGACGGGCGGGCCGTGCGGGTGTGGGAGGTATGCGGTTGTGGTGGGTGTGACGTGCTTGGTGGGAGATGTGGCTTTCGGGCCGTGAGTTTCGCCTGCATTGTGCTTGCGACGATTGGGCTCTGTGTGATTGTGTGGTTACGTGGGGGCGTGCACAGTTGTGTTTGGTTATACGGCTGAGGGTGCGTGAGCGGTGGTCTCCCGATTGCTTGCGTTTGGTTCCCTGGTTGTGTGAGGTTGAGGCGTTTGGGTTCTGAGTTTGTGTAGAGTCGTTTGTAGCGTTTGGTGTGGCGTCTGTGCGCCGTGTCAAGTTGTCATGTCCGCTCTGTGGGATCGAGTCTTTCATGTCGTGTGTGGTTATGCGACCTGTGCATAATCGTATTGAATTGTGTGGAGGGTGTTGTGCGCGGTCGAGGCCGTGAGGAGTGCGACTGTGGGATGTGTAGTCTCTGCGGCATGTAGCCGTGTAGCATTCATGCTGGGCGTATAATTTCAGGATATGTAGGTATAATTTTTATTTTTTACGTGGTGTGGGTTGAGAGGGGCTTGCACATGTTATGGTTGTGGGGTCTGGCTTCGTGGTTTGTAGATTTATTTGGTTGTGGTGTGTGTTTGGTTATGCGATTTTAGAGTTCGGTCAGGCATTTATTCATTCATTCACAAATGAAGCTTTCGTGCGTTTCTTCGTGGTAGGTGCCAGGGAATGTGCTAGACCCTGGGGTAAGGTGGTGGGAAAAGCCCATAGTCTCTGCCCTTACAGAGCTTAGAGCCTTCTGTACTTAGTTATTTTATGTACTCGTGATTATAAGTTGATACGAGCGCTGTCCCACGGGAGAATGCCTCAAGTGAGAGGCATTTCCTTGAGGAAGCAAGGTTGGGTTGAGATGTGAAGGGTGTGTGTGTTTGATTTGTGGTTGTTAGGGTGAGTGCCTGGGAAGGAAAGGAGCTTTTAGAGTCCCCGCATCCGATAACCACTTGCTGGGGAGGAAACTGGAACTGCTGTTTCAGTGACCGTCTGGAAAAGGGGCTGAGATCTGGGTGTATATGGTCATGGGGTTTCTTAGAGGGAAAAAACCAGGGGCCCGGTGTTTCATTTGCTTATTTTCTGGGTCATGGCTACCCTTCGGCTTTGAGGACCAGGCATTCCGTCCTCACAGGCCCTCTGAGCAGGCCTATCCGAAGCTGAGAGTCATACATTTCCTCTTACTCTCTACTGCGGTTTGTGACCACAGGTTCTTGGGGAGAAATTTCTCTGCTTTTGTGGAATGGTTTTATCTGGATTCTCCCAAGGCTGGGTGTTTTTCTGAGGTGACATTGGAAGTGACTTTGGCATGGCCCAGTAAAAGTGAAAATGTAACCTATTAAGCCCTGGATGTCTTAAGCACTAAATCCTTTTATTTTTGAAGCAGTGAGAACATTAGGCTGGCTTTTCAGCTGTCATTTATTGACTTATAAAACCCACTATGTTCACTGTCGAAAAAGTACAAATATAAAACACAAAATAGATTTTTCTTTTTACCACTGGATTAAAAAAAATTTTTTTTTTAACATTTTTTATTTTTGAGAGACAGAGAGAGAGAGAGAGAGATAGCACAAACAGGGGAGGAGCAGAGAGAGGAGACACAGAATCCGAAGCGGGCTCCAGGCCCTGGGTTGTCAGCACAGAGCCCGACACGGGGCTCGAACTGACAGATCGCGAGATCATGACCCGAGCTGAAGTCCGCTGCCTAACCAACTGAGCCACCCAGGCACCCCTTACCACTGGATTTTTAATGCTCCTCCTTAGACTAAGGTTGGGATTTTTGTTTGGTGTGGTTTTAGCTTTGCTTTTGTTTTTTAGGGCAAACACTATCTCTTTTTCTCCTTGCATTTTGAAACATTTTTATTTATTAAAAATTTTTTTTAAATGTTTATTTTTGAGAGAGAGACAGAGTGTGAGTGGGGGAGGGGCAGAGAGAGAGGAGGGCAAAGAATCCAAAGCAGGCTCCAGGCTCTGAGCTGTCAGCACAGAGCCCTGTTCGGGGCTCGAACCCACAAACCGTGAGATCATGACCTGAGCCGAAGTCAGATGCTTAAATGACTGAACCACCCAGGCGCCCCACTCTTTGCATTTGTGATGTAAGTGTAAGAGCTTAGTATATGTGGTTGAGTAAATGACCAAGGTAAAGAGTCAAAAATTTCTGTGTGTGGGGGCGCCTGGGTGGGGTAGTCAGTAAAGCCACCGACTCTTGATCTCGGCACAGGTCATGATCTCACTGTTGGTGAGTTTCAGCCGTGTCGGGCTCTGTGCTGATGGCACAGAGCCTGCTTGGGATCCTGTCTCTCCTCTGCCCTTCCCCCAGTTGTGCTCTCTCTTTCTCAAAATAAATAGACTTAAAAACAAATTTCTGTGTGTTGGTAAGTACTTCAGACATTTCCTCAGTGGCTGAAGTGGCATACAAATTATGGAGTTGGACCAATTGAAGTGCATGTTAGAGAACTGCCTGGGTTTTGTGTTTGCTTTTGAAGTTGAATTTTCTTATCTTCAGGAATCTGTGCTTCCTACTTCAGCAAGTTGCCATTGTCCAGTGATGTTCTCAAATCTTTGAAGGTTTTGTATTTCAGTGTAAGGGTTTGAGAAGGCAGTTTGTGTTCTGAAACTTGCAGTGAGCAAACATTAAATAATCTTGTTGAGCGTTGAAAAGAACAAAGAAAATTTTCAGTTGCTGCTAATTTGCCTCTTTTCTGTCCCTTCTTTCCTGTTTCAGAGCTTCTCCTACTCCAGAGAGGAAACCTCATCCAGAGCCATGATACCACTTTCCCGTCACCTGTGTGCCGCTTGGTTAAGCTAATGCTGTGAGAGCACTGGTCCCTTGTGGAGGAATCAAGCTGACTCTTGGCATGAGGGGTTGAGAGGGACACTGCTATGGCTTCTCTGGATGACCCTGGGGAAGTCAGGGAGGGCTTCCTTTGCCCTTTGTGCCTGAAGGACCTGCAGTCTTTCTGTCAGCTTCAGTCACATTATGAGGAAGAGCACTCTGGGGAAGACCGTGATGTCAAAGGGCAAATTAAAAGTAAGAGGCGTGAGTTTTTTGCCTATCCTGTTCTGTCCTTGGGAGCTTTAACTCATGGGATGGTTTTCATTAGCTTCCATGATCCCACCAGAAGGTGATAAACAATAGTAAATTAATAATAATAGTAGTGAACATATATCTAATGCTTACCATGTGCCAGGCATTGTTCAGAGTCTTCCCCATGAATTCACCTCATTTAATCCTCATGATACCTATCGGACTGTGAGACCCCATTTTACTGTTGAGGGTACTAAGTCACAGAGAAATTAGGTGACTTGCCTGAAGTCACACCGTGAGGCAGGGCCTGGCTTTGAACCTAATAAATGTAATCACTGTGTTCTCTGCTGTCTCGCTAGACTGAATTATCTAATTGCCAGCCTGTGAGGAATATGGAGTGGAATTTCTTTCCTTAGCTCTGAAAGTGGAGGCCCATTATATATCCATTACCCTGTTACAAATTCAAGCCTTCCTGCCATCCTTCCTCCTTCAACTATACCTTGTCCTGTGCAGCCCAGGAAAAGGAAGGTCAGAGTTGAAAAGCAAGGAGAAACAACTTAAAAAGTTAAACTTGGTTTTTGAGCTTCTCAGGCCTCAGGTTGTAGAGAGTCACAGAAAGGATTTTTTCAAAGCAATTTTAACCATACATAGTGTTCATTTCTGGAATTGAGATTCTAACTCCTAAATATGATGCCAGTATTCTGGAACTTACTTTCCTAGTGATTCAGCTAATCTGCTTCTCCTAGCTGGCAGCATTTCTGAAGGCAGTGAGATTACAAAGGCCTGGACGTGTATTCACAATTCTGTGTTGGGTGGGAGAGAAGGGGATGATCATATATTTCTAAATGGACTTTGGCCTCCACATATGCAAGTCACATGCACCCTGTAATGAAATAGTCCCTCTCCATGTCTCACTTTTCAGAAAAAATTGTTGAAAGCTTTATCATTTATTACCTCTTTCTAACCACATGACAAAGTCAAACATTTTCATAATCCTGAGGGCTGTGATAAATGAGGTGTCTGTAGAGGCTGGAGCAGAGCCATAACTGTTAGCAAAAAAAAAAAAAAAAAGTTTTGTATTTTGTCATTTTCAGAGTTCCTTTATAAACATCGTTATTTCATTTGATTCTTCCAGCAACTCTGCAAGATGGTGGTTGGTTTCATTCTACAGAGAAAAAGTGAGGCTCAGAGATGTTGAGCAACGTATCCAAGGTCACACAGGAATTTATAGAGGTAGACTTTGACCCCAGGTCTTCTGTCACCTCTGAGTCTAGTGCTGCTCTTTCCATTTGGCATCACTGATGATACCAGACCCTGTGTTCCAATCACAGCTTGCCCTGCAGCTAGAATGCAAACAAAAACTGCTCATCTCAGTTTCCTTGGACAGCTGGAGCACCTCTGTGACCTTTAATGAGCATCCAGTCTGAGTGTCAGCTGTCATATACCGTGATGTCACTAAGACTTTGATGCTGGTGGGTTCAGAAGTTAGACAATGTCTTCATTTTCCTGTGGTAACCCATTTATTAGAGGAAAAACATTTAAGGTTACGTAGGGAATAATAGGTGTGAGAATCCACTTAAAGAGTAATAGAGATTTTATGAGTTGTGAAAGAAACTTGAAAGAATTCTCTTGTGTTTTTCTTTGTTTTCCCCCTATCTCTACCTCAGAAGAGCTAAGAAATTGAGTTAAGCATTTCTTTAGTACTAATGAGCATTTCTTCAGTCAGGAAGGATATCTTGCTTCTGTGGGAGTTTTCTGTGTTTTGGAACCAGGAAAGTAAAGTTTTAAAGATTGACATCAAAGATTTTTGAGAAGTCCTTTGAAAAGCATTTGGTCTTTTGGTTCTTAGACATTTTATGACATTGCTGGTTTTGTCAAGTGAAATATTAAAGCCAAAAGAGCAAACCTTGATACCAGGTTTTGGAGGTGGTTTAAGGGGCGCCTGGGTGGCGCAGTCGGTTAAGCGTCCGACTTCAGCCAGGTCACGATCTCTCGGTCCGTGAGTTCGAGCCCCGCGTCGGGCTCTGGGCTGATGGCTTAGAGCCTGGAGCCTGTTTCCGATTCTGTGTCTCCCTCCCTCTCTCTCTCTGCCCCTCCCCCGTTCATGCTCTGTCTCTCTCTGTCCCAAAAATAAATAAACGTTGAAAAAAAAAAAATTTTTAAAGAAAGAAAATATAAACTTGTCATTAAGTGGTCATTGAGTTTGGGCCCCAGCCCTGCTTCAGCTTCAGTTTAGCACATGTACAGTAAGTATAAGAAAAGGTAATTGAAAATTACCTGTGGCTTTTGCTTTGTGTTTTTTTTTTTTTTTTTTTTTTTTAGTAGTTTTTTTTTCCTCTGCTTTGTGCTTTTAAAGATATATGGGATTGTTCTTAATTGGCCTCCTCTTGAAGGGCTATACCTGGGAAGGTGGCCAGTACGTTCTTCTATCCTCTTCTATCCTAAAGTGGTTAAATTACATGGACTTGCCTGTTTAACTGGACACAGCTTAGTTTTGTTTGCAGAAGTGAATTTGTGTCTGCTAACTCTAATTTCCTGTCTGCTAACCCTTTGTTTACCGTTTTCTGTTTTCTCTCCCCTATTGTTAAGAATATCATCTGGTGGACCTTATTTTTCCAGGTGGAGAAAGCCATCTCAGAGTGACCGATAATCAGGGAATTTGCTTATTAGCTTGACTGCCTAACAAAGACATATATATATAAGCTTAACACTTTCTCCCTCTGCCTGCCAGCCCCTCCATATCTGCATTTCCCTAGAGTTTTGAAAAGCTTTGGTAGTTTTTTTTTTTTTTTAACGTTTATTTATTTTTGAGACAGGGAGAGACAGAGCATGAACGGGGGAGGGTCAGAGAGAGGGAGACACAGAATCTGAAACAGGCTCCGGGCTCTGAGCTGTCAGCACAGAGCCCAACACGGGGCTTGAACTCACGGACCGCGAGATCATGACCTGAGCCGAAGTCGGCCGCCTAACCGACTGAGCCACCCAGGCACCCCAAGCTTTGGTAGTTTTTAATGTTGTTCAGGTAACAGCAGTTCAGAAGTCAGGGAATTCCATGAAGTAGTGATCTATTAAATGTAAAAGAAATTACATTTTGTGTTAAACCTGGTATTTTCTACTAGATTCTAGTGGCAGTAAGGGATAGTCATCCAAGACTTAAGAACATTAATGAGAGCAACTTAGGATCAAGAATTCTTTTTTCCCACGAGTTGACTGTTCTCCTTCAACAGCAGGTCCTCTTAGCACAGGGGGCAGTACCCCTGTTCTGTGGAGGCATAGTTTTTGAGTTGTGCTGACTGGGGAGAGCTGGGGTTCTCATTTCAAACAGATGGGGTTTCCACTTCCAGCACTGCTGCCTTATAAGCTCTGTGATCTTGGGTGCAGCAAGTTTCCCCCTCTTTGATGTCACGTCCTCATTTATAAGTAGGGATACCACCTGCCTCATAATGTTGTGAGCATGAATTGGCCTAATGTATTTGAAAGCACTTTGTGCCTGGTACATGCAAGGAATCAATCCAGGAAACATTCATTTTCTCTTGTTACCAAGTCTGGTTCCCTTTGCTTATGTTGTAGGTGTTATATCTGTTTCTTGAAGCTTTTTGTCAGTGTCAGCACACATGCATTCATTAAGTGAGTGGGGGAAGAAGAACTCTATGTACAGATAAGCATTATGGGGAGCACCAGCCCAGGTGTTGGTTTACTTCCATCCTGGAAGTAAATAAGAAGTGTTTCCTCATGAGTCCATAGAGTAAATAAATTAATACTGTAGAATTTAACTTTAAAAACTTTGTTTTAATTGAAATATACTTTACAAATAAGTTTTTAAGTGTGCAGTGCAGTAAGATTTGAAAAATGTATATACCCATGTAACCACCTCCCCAATTAAGATCTAGAAAAAAAATTTCCATTGCCTTGGTCCCCTCATCGAATTTGACTTTAATACTTTTATTTAATTGGGCTCTTAAATTTGGCAACAACTAGTAATGTAGCTACATACTGGCTACATAAACCAACTTACTGCTAATACTGACTAGTGAATGGATGCCTCTGGGGGTTTATCATTGCAGTTTATTTGGGATCCAAAAATTTTCAAATGAAGTAAAGTCATTTCATCACTTTTTGTGTTTGAGATTTCCCTTGACTTTGTGCTAGATGTTCTTTGTCGACTCATTTATGGTGTTTGTTTGATTTTTCCAGGTCTTGTCCAGAAGGCTAAGAAAGCCAAGAACAGGCTGTTGAAACGAGAAGGAGATGACCGAGCAGAATCGGGGACACAGGGCTATGAGTCTTTCAGCTATGGAGGGGTTGACCCTTACATGTGGGAACCCCAGGAACTTGGTAAGAAATTCTGTTCCTTCATTCAGCAAATGTTTGAGCATCTTTATGTCCTAGGTGATGTTTTAAGAGTTGAGGAGGCATCAGTAAACGAGAGGCATCAGTAAACCAGAATTGTCTAAACTTCTCACGGTCCTTATGTCCCAGTGGGGGGCGAAAATGGACCAGAATGAGCCCAGCACCTGCTTTGTGTTAGGCACTGCATTAAATGCTTTACACGTGGACTCATTTAATCCCCACTGCACTTGATGGGGACCTTCCCAGAGTCAAACAGCTAAGCAGCTACAGAAATGAGATAGGAATCCAGGTGTTTGACATCAGCTCCGGCATTGACTTGGCTGTCTCCTCTCACGTAGTAGATTACCTGTCTAGCAAGAGGCACTCACTGATTTGTGCAACTTAATTTTCGAAACACATAATTATCATACCATCTACTGACTTTTAAAATAATCATCTTTTGAGGTGATGAAAATGTTCTACACTTTATTTCGGTGATGGTTGGTTGTACAACTCTGAATATACTAAAAACCATGGAATTTGTGTGCTTTAAATGGTGAATTGTATGTCCATGAATAATAACAGAGCTGTTACCAAAACTGCCACGTGATGTTGAACTAGCTAATCTTACATGTCCTTTAACTGTTGAATGATAACAAATTTAATATAACATTTTATGTCCATGCAATAGATAAATAATGATTTACTCATGAGGCTCTATTAACTTTCATATTTATTATCTTCAGCACCTTTCACAAAAGCTTTGTGAGCTGTAAAGGGTAGTGATGCTCATTCCCATTTACAGATGAGGAAATAGGCTGTATGAAGGGAACTGATATTTATCCAGGGTCATCTACGGTTTTCTTCTTATAGGGCCACTATGGAATGCTTCTTTTTGGATGAGAAAAATCTTAGAACTGCACTGTCCAATAGGATAGCCACTAACTACATGTGGCTATTTAGATTTAAATAAATTAAAATCAAGTAAAATTTAAAATCACTTCCTTAGGGACGGCTGGGTGGCTCAGTTGGTTAATTGTCCAACTCTTGATTTCAGTTCAGGTCATGATCTCACGGTTATAGAACTGAGCTCTGAGTTGGGCTCTGTGACAGTGCGGAACCTGCTTGGGATTCTCTCTTCCCTCTCTCTGCCTTTCCCTCAATCGTTGCCTCTCTTTCTTTCTCGCTCTCAAAATAAATAAACTTAAAAAAAAAGTCATTTCCTCAATCATACATTAGCCACTTTTCAAGTGTCCAATCTGCACCTGTGGCTAGTGGCTGCCAAAGTGGAGAATGGAAACATTTTCATCATGGCAAGAGAAAATGGCTTTAAAAATAATAGTATACAACGTAACACTGTTAATTATACTTACATAAAAAAATAAAATTAAAAATTTCAAATCAACGTGTTGTACACCTAAAACTAATATAGCATATGTTAATTATACTTCATTTTTAAAAAATAGTAATTATACATATGAGTTAATATGAAAGTATGTAGGAAAATTTGTGGATTCTTATTAGCTTTTCAATAGCCTGTTTTATGATTACCAGTGTTAAATTATCAGAGCAATTTTCTGATTAATTTGCCTGTTTTCAACAACCGACGAAGTCAAAATTGTGGAAGGTCAAGAGAATGGCAGATTTTAGAAGTTCATATTTAGGTCATCCCTAGGAATTTGAAATTAAATTTAACTAGATGTTAGAGAGTATGGTAGGGGAGAAAAGAACGAAGATGATGCAGAGGGTAGCATGTGAGAAGCTCCAGGTAGGGTCCAAGGTATAAATGAACCGGCCATGGTTGAGAAGAGGAGGGGGACTGCGTGCTGGGGGGGTGGGGCCAGGTACAAGGGGAAGGGTTGGTGTTTTGGAAGAATATTTCAGATCTGCTGAGACAACAAGCTACTTGATTCCATTTGTGTGAGAATGTTCATCCTGGGTCTTTGCTGCTGGACTGAGCAAGGTATCAGTTTAACTGGCTCCTCCTGTGGCATCTGTTAGCATTTACATTTTGGGGACTATTTTGAGAAGGACTGTTTTGATTCTGATGAAAAACCATAGTGTACCAACTTTGGAAAGTACAGAAAAGTATGAGAGATTTTTAAAAGTTGCCCATAATGTTAGTGTCCTTTTTACTGAACAAAAATTCATGTGCCAGACAGCGCTCTAAGGGCTTTATAAATTTTAACTTTTTAATCCTCCTAATAACTCTGTGGAGCGAGTACTATTCTTATCCCCATTTTATAGATGAATGCTCCCAAGTTACAGAGATGTTAAGGAACTTGTCTAAGGTCGCACAATGTGTGGCAGAATTGAAACTTGAGCACAGGCTGGCTCCGGTTCAGGCTCTTATCCACTGTACTCCGAGGTCTCTGGTATTGTACTCTGTGGCCTCCAAGGTAACCATGGTTAATTAACATTTTAGCAAATTTGTTTCCATTTGTTTGTCTTTGAATTTTTAGTAAGACTCTAAACTAGAATTTCTACTTGCGTGTAAAAGTCATTGAGGATAAGCAGCAAGGGAGAGGGGCTCTTTCATAGGAATGACAGGTCATTTGTCTCCCCATCTCCTCTCCTTCTAGGTGCTGTGAGAAGCCATCTTTCCGACTTCAAAAAACACCGAGCTGCCAGAATTGACCACTATGTTGTTGAAGTCAATAAATTAATAATCAGGTTAGAGAAGGTAAATTTTGTTGTTTTCAAACCTTTTTTTTCTGCAAGTGTAACTTTTCTGGGAGAAAAGAATTCTATTTCTACAGTGTGTACCATGTATGTTGTATCTATCTGATGCTGGCAGAGAAATGCCCCATCTAGAGCTCACCTAGAGAGGTGCAGAGGACCTGCTTGGGCAGGTCTAGCTTGGGCTGGTTTTATTGAAGGAGACGGCCCCAGTTGACAGACTTGCCACATAGCCAGGCTTTCCTTTTCCTTTCTCTGAAGCCTACTTGGCTGCTGGAAAACCTTTCTGCCTTCAAATTATTTCCTCTTTTGGGTGTCCCAAGTACAAACACGCAATGGGGCATGGTGTGTGATACTTGATAGCAAACTGAGAAACTGGTGACAACGTTTGTGAGGACTACTCAGCCAGGGCCAGTGTTAGTGTGGGAACTTCTTAACTGAGCCTTCTTGTCCTGTAGTACCAAAGTGCATCTTCAATACTGCAGTCGTCTTTTTTTTTTTTTTTTAATGTTTATCTATTTATTTAGAGAGAGAAAGAGAGTGCGTGATCAGGGAGGAGCAGCGAGATTGGGAGAGAGAGAATCCCAAGCAGGCTCAACACTTTCAGCATGGAGCCCCGATGTGGGGCTCGAACTTAGGAACTGTGAGATCATGTCCTGAGCCAAGATCAAGAGTCAGACACTTAACCAACTGAGCCATCGAGACACCCTAATACCACAGTCATTCTATTCTGTTCTACTCTGACCCTAGAAATGCTTGCTGTGTATGACCTGGATTGTGTCGTGGGCATGGTAGCACCTGCAGGTATAGTTCTTGATGTGTACTCTGTAGGACAGAAATATGTGGCCAGTTTCATTGTCCAGGAGGACCGTGGAGAATCAGGAATTCTCCATTGCTTTCAATAGCCACACCCACCACATCTTGGCCTACCCCTGCTTATTGCTTAAATGGGGAGCTGACAATAAAGAGATTGGAATCAGGTCACGGAAAGGGAGCTGCCTTCCAGATGCAAAGCTAATACTCTGTCTCATGCAAAATTGCTTTTGTGGCTTTGTGGGGTTGGTGATGACAAATGAGACTTGAGAAATGAAGATGTGCAAATTCCTGCTTGATGCCTTTTGCCTGTGGAAAGTGTGTACATCACCTGTTTAACTCTATTTGCACTGTTTTCTCTTTGTCAGCTCACTGCATTCGACAGAACGAATACCGAGTCTGCTAAGATACGAGGTAACTCCAGAATTTTGCTCACATTCATTCTGTTTATCTTTCTTCCTGATCACACCTCTTTTTTAAAAATGGCTTGTTTTTCTGTTTGATTTTTGTTTTGTTCTTCCCAAAGCAATAGAAAAGTCAGTGGTGCCTTGGGTCAACGACCAGGATGTTCCTTTCTGTCCAGACTGTGGGAATAAGTTCAGCATCCGTAACCGCCGCCACCACTGCCGGCTCTGCGGGTCTATTATGTGCAAGAAGTGTATGGAACTCATCAGTCTCCCTTTTGCAAGTAGGTAACGTGGAGGCGGTACCCTGGACCCTGATCTCCTCTTGTGACTACCTTGTTTGCTGATCACCACTTAGTGATTTTTTGAACATTTTTGTCTGAGTTAATGTTCTATGGGATCTTCATCCATTCACTTACTGATTCCATGAAGCCTGCTATAGGCTAGGCACTGCCAGGGCCCAGGGATACAATGGTGGATAACAAGGGCTGGCAGACTTTTTCTGTAAAAAATCAGATGGTAAATGTTTTAAGCTTTGTGTGCTACAGGCGGTCTCTGTGACATTTCTTTTTCTTTTTTTAAAAATTTTTAATGTTTTTATTTATTTTTGAAAGAGAGAGAGAGAGAGAGAGCATGAGTGGGGGAGGAGCAGAGAGAGAGGGAGACACAGAATCTGAAGCAGGCTCCAGGCTCTGAGCTGCCAGCGCAGAGCCCGATGTGGGGTTGGAACTCACAAACTGTGAGATCATGACCTGAGCCGAAGTTGGAGGCTTAACCGACTGAGCCACCCAGGTGCCCCTCTTTGTCTTTTTTTAAACAGCCTTTTAAAAACCATACTTAGCTCAAGGGCCATACAAAAGCAGGCTGGTCTTGGTTTGCAGGTCATGTTTGCCTACCTCTGGTCTTTAAGACATCATCCATTCTCCCAAAGGGTCTAGCATCTAGCAGAGGATACAGACTTACAAACAAATAATTGCTTTATAAAGAGGTAAGTACTATGAGAGACATTGTGTCAGACACTCAAGAGAGCTGACCCAATTGTGGTCAGCCCTGCTTGGAAGTGGAGCTTGTAAGAGAAGGTCTTAAAATATGAGTACCAGGCTGTCCTTCCCTTTGAGGTTAAAGTCACAAACCGTTCACTGTCATATAGAACAGACTGTAACGTCATAATATGAGAGACACTGAGTGCTGGGGAGATCAAGAGCATGGATGTTCAGGTTTGGGAGGTGATGTTCGAGAAGAGCCTTTAAGATAATCAGGATTGCAAAGAGAGCAGGAGGGAACCTGGGTAGAGTGAAGAGCAGGAGCAAAGCTGTGGAAAGGCCCTGGGGAAGGTTAGTAGATGAGCAAGTAGAATAGTTGGGGGAGTGTAGAAGACACATTTGAGAATTATGGGGACGGTGGCTACAAGGTTTGCTTGAACCAGAGGATCAGAACTCTGAGTCTCAGCTAGTTAAAAGTTGTTAAAGATGATCTCCTGGGCTTTGGGCCAGTTCTGGGACATTTAGTGTGGTTTTGCAACCCTGGAGAGTTCTGCTAACTCTGCATGTGCTGTTGGCTACAGAGCATCTGGGCAACATGGGGCAGAAGCAGATGTTTCCTCTGTCCAGTTCTCACAGTCAGCAGGCACACATTACCTTGATACCTTCCCTTTCTCCCTGAGACTGACTTTGTGTCTCACCTGAGACTTCATAAGCTATGTTTTTGGGACACTATTCACCTTTCTTGTCTTGAGCTAATTAATCAACATTTACTGGGCAGCTGCTATGGGGTAGCCCTGTTGCATATATCGGGTTACAAGTATGAAAGGGCAATTCCTACCATCATAGAGTCACAGATTCATAGAACAGCCCTGGGTATACATAGCACTGTCATACTGGGACAAAAGTGGAGAGTGCTCTAAGAGGGATGATATGGTAGGAACTGATAGGAAGGGCAGATTTTTTTTTTTTTTTTTTTTTGTCTCAAGGAATATAGGGCTTCCTGAAGGATGTGCCATTCGAGCTGAGCTTTGGAAAGGGTAGGAGTCAGATGTTTGGAGGCGGGGAAGTCTGTTAGGACAGTCTAGGGATTGGATTGGTTGGAGGCAGAGCAAATGGAGGAGGGCAGTTAGGGTCAGGTTAGGAATGGGCCTCAGAGCCTCAAAGAGACCTTCCTAGACTGTGTGGCGCTTTCCTGGCTGGCAGTGAGAGTCTCTGCCACCGCAGAGCCTGACCCCAGGATGGCAGAGGTCTGGTGCTTCTTGCCAATAGACACAGCCTGTATCAGCACCTGTGGCACTCCCCTCTGTTGTGAGCACTAGGGTGATTGGAGTCTGCGGGCTCACTGCTGCCTGTCCTGTGTTGTGCTTTACAGATAAGCTTACCAGTGCCAGCAAGGATTCCCTGAGCACCCACACCAGCCCCAGCCAGTCACCCAACAGTGTCCATGGCTCCCGCCGGGGCAGTATCAGCAGCGTGAGCAGTGTAAGCTCTGTCCTGGATGAAAAGGATGACGACCGGATCCGCTGCTGTACACACTGCAAGGACACGCTACTGAAGAGAGAGCAGCAGATTGATGAGAAGGAGCACACCCCCGACATTGTAAAGCTGTATGAGGTGACTCACTGTGTGCGGTCCTGGTCTGATGCAAGATGCAGATTTGGCTGTTAATTATGTACACGCCTGCACATTTTGGAGATGCTTTGGGAAGTTGTTCCTCTGAATCACTTTTAGTCTCTGCCAAAGGGCTATAGTGTGATTTCCTAGCTAGGGCCCTGGGTAATTCACAGAGTCATTGGGGGTGTGTTGCAACAACCTCATTCCGTCTCCCTTCCTTGCCTACTTGAAAGCAGGAAGTTGGAGACTTTGGTGGCCCAGGGGCAAAAGGAAGAAGGATGGTTGCGTGGGGTGTGGGCAGGATTTGGGGGTGAGGGCAGAAGCTGGAGCAGGTGGTAAACAGTGGGCCAGAGGAGTCCTGGGAAACTCACTTGGAAGCTTCAGGCTTTATGAGTTTGAGTGACTGCCCATGAGCATAGAGCTTCCCCTTTAAAAAAAATTTTTTTATGTTTATTTTTGAGAGAGAGACTGAGTGGGAGAGGGACAAAGAGAGGGAGAGACACAGAATCTGAAGCAGGCTTCAGGCTCTGAGCTGTCAGCGCAGAGCCCAATGTGGGGCTCAAACCCATGAACTGCGAGATAGAGCTTCCCCTATTAAGTCCATTCAGTTGCCTCAGCTGTCGTTACTACCAGCAGTCCCAAAACACCATTGGTAGATGCTCACTTTGAGAGGAACGTAGTGTAATGAAAAATGGGATTTAGTGTCAGCCTGGGGGTGAGACTGCCTCAGCCTCCCAGTGGCCAGGGGGACCTGCAGGCCAAGGAGAAATTGCCAAGTGAAGGTTTCGCAGGGAGGTGATAGGAGATGGGGAGGAGATCAGCCTGGGCAGCAGAAGCAGCTCATGCACAACCCTGAGCAGAGGAAGAGTGTATAGGTCTTCTCGACTTACAATGGGGTTACATCCTGATAAACCCAACCAAAGTTGAAAATATCCTAAGTCAAAAATGCATTTAATACATCTCACCTACTGAACATCATAGTTTGGCCTGGCCTTAACTGTGCTGGGAACACTTATATTAGCCTCCGGTTGGGCAAAATCCTCTAACAGAGACCTATCTGATAATGAAATGTTGAGTGTGTCCTATAACTGTTGAATACTGTACCTGGAAGTGAATAACAATGCTTGTAAGGGTATTGGGTGTTGACCCGCGTGATCGCATGGCTGACCTGTAGCTGCTGCCTGCTGCCCAGCTTCGCGGAGGGAGCGTCAGACTGCATGCCACTAGCCCAGGAAGTGATCTAAATTCAAAGTCCCAAGTACAGTTTCTGCTGAATGCCTATCAATGCCTCACACCATTGTAGAGTTGAGAAATCATAAAGTCCAATAACCGTTGTAAGTCGGGGACTGTCTATATATTGTCTGATGATCACTGAATGGTCACTGTTAGCAGTTCTGCAGGTCATAATGGCTGTGTTTCTGGAGTCACCATGAAAATACTTAGACTTCTACTAGAAATGGTGTTAATGAAACCCTGTGCTGAGCTGCAGATGTAGCCATTATCCATTCTGTGTATGGAGTTCGTGACCTGATAACTCATTTTTGTAAATAGCCACTGTGCTTTTCCTTCCTTCATCTTTGAAGTGAGCCCTGGCAATGCCTTTTGCTGGTATCTTTCATCACCTGGCAGAGGAAGAATGTAGCAACCAGTTCCTTTCGTCTGCCTTGGTAAACTCATTGGCTTGTGTCTGTCCTGGAAGGCCTTGCTCCCTGCAAAAACATCCGGTAAAAAGTTTTGTTGTCACTTTCCTTCCTGCAAGATTTACTGCTTCTAAAGGAGGTCTGTAAATCAGGAAATTGATAACAGTAAAAACAAACAAAAAGCACTCTCTGCATATTTCTATATTATAAAACTGTACGTATTATTTTTTTTTAATTAAAAAAATTTTTTTTAAGTACGCGCCATAGCCAGTATGGGGCTTGAACTCACAACCCTGAGAATAGGAGTTGCATGCTCTTACTCTTACTGACTGAGCCAGCCAGGTGCCCTGAAAACTATAGATTTTAAATGCCTCTCTATTGATAACAGTGTAACTTTTCTGTACCTTGAAAGCACCACTCACTTCTTTTTTGTTCTTAGAAATTACGACTTTGCATGGAGAAAGTTGACCAAAAAGCTCCTGAATACATCAGGATGGCAGCATCATTAAAGTAAGCTATTCCTCTGTTTTTCTAATTCAGTGATGACTGTTTTCTTGCCTTTAGGGCAGCCCCTCGGTAGCTGAAAATGAAAATCTTAACTCTGGCTGTGCTTTTCTTCTGTGAGCAACTGTGGAGAATCTTTGTCATATCTGTATAGTCCCATGTAGCCATGTTCAAGTGACTCCAGTCATTTTTCTTTTCAATTTTTTTTTTAATGTTTATTTATTTTTGACAGAGACAGAGACAGAATGCGAGTGGGTTGGGGGCAGAGAGAGAGGGAGACACAGAATCCAAAGCAGGCTCCAGGCTCTGAGCTGTCAGCACAGAGCCTGACGCGGGGCTCGAACTCACAAGCTGTGAGATCATGACCTGAGCTGAAGTCGGACACTCAACCGACTGAGCCACCCAGGCGCCCCGTGACCCCAGTCATTCTGATTGAGCAGGTTCATAGGCCCCACTGCCGAGTATGGCATCTGGAGGTGAGCAAGGACAGTATTCCTCATGCACCTGCCTAGCTAGATGCTACTTCAGGGTGGCATTGAGGTGTCAGGACTTAGAGCAAGCATTTCCTTTAGAGCAGGGATTGGCACATTTTAGCTAATGGGCCAAATCCAACCTGTCATCTCTTTCTTTTTTTTAAAATTAAGATATAATTCAGACACCAAAAAATTCACCCTTTTAATGGGTACAATTCAGTGGTCTTTAATATATTTACCAAGTTGTACAACCATCATCACTGTCTTAATTCTAAATCATTTTCATCAGTCCAAGAAACCCCATACCCATTAGTAGTCACTGCTCATTTCTCCTCTCCCTGGCAGGCACTAGTCTGCTTTCTGTCTATGGATTTGCCTATTTTGGACATTTCACATAAACGGAATCATAAATATATATGACCTTTCATGTCTGGCTTCTTTCACATAGTGTAATGTTTGCAAGGTTCACTCCTGTGGTAGCACATGTTAGTGTTCCATCCCTTTTGTGTGAATGCGTTTGTATGGATAGACCGCATTTTGTTTATCCATTAGTCCGTTGATGAGCATTTGGGTTTTTCCACTTCTGGCTGTGATGAGTAATGCTTCAGTGAATATTCATGTATAAGTATAAGTCTTTTTGTGGACATACAATTTTATTTCTTTTGGGTATATATGTAGGTGTGGGGTTGCTGGGTCATATGGTAACTCTAGGTTTTAAACTTTTTGAGGAACTGCCAGACTGTTTTCTTAAAATGATTGCGCCACTTTATATTTCTACCAGCAGTGTATGAGGTTTCAGTTTCTCCATATTCTTGCCAACGCTTGTTATTGCCACTTGTTTTTATAAGTAAAATTTTATTGCCACGTAGCCATGCCCATTTGTTTGATTATAACTACAAACTACAGCAGCAGAGTTGAACAGTTGTGACAGATACTATCTGGCAAAGCTAAAAATGTTTATTATCTGGCCCTTTACAGAAGAAATATGCTGACATTTTCTTAGGAGCATTGCCTCTTCTGTAGGTTAGTGATATGTGAGCTGGAGTTTGAAGTGCTACCATTAGAATCGGATCCCCACAGTCTTTCCCCAATCTGCAGGGAAGAAAATTATGGCATCCAGTGCTTTCGGTTTGAGAATTATCTGCCTTTGTTTTTATTTACCCACTTACTGTGGCAGTATGTTATAGTGTCCCCACAAGCAAAGCTTGGCTTTTCCTTCATGACGTCAGTGACTACGTTCTAAGTCTATCGTGTGGGTCTCACATGAAAAGAAAATTAACCTTTTCATTTACAAGGTCCTTAAGGAATTTCTTGACTTATGAGTCTGTAAATGTCTGACTTACAAAATACGAATGGCTAAACCCAGTTGGTTTGTGGCAAAAAATATCCTTTCCCTTGCATGTCTCCCTGCCTCTGCTGTTGCTTCAGGGCTCTTCTTCCAGTCCCTGTTCCCTCCCCCAGTGTTTGCCAGCCCACAGGGAAGGAAAAGAGAGGTGGGAGGGAAACACAAAAGAAAGAAACCATTGCAGACCACCTCCATTCCCCCCAGTCCTAGCACCTGGATGTCTGTAGCCTCTGGCAGAAGACAGTGTCAGGGGAGGAAATCCTTGTTTCTCCAGCCCTCTCAGCCTCCACTACGCCTTCTCTTCTATTTGCACCTTCTGTACCCCATTCTTCCTCTTTTCATTCCAAGAATGAAGAACGGCAGGAAAGGACACATTTTCGTTTCTACCTGCAGTTCACTGAGCAATTTCGATCAGTGGAGCATATATCCTTCCTGTGAGTAGGTTGGGAGAAGCAGCTCAAGTCATTCTGGTATATAGCTCCCCTAAATGGAGACTCGTTGGCTTGGAGCACCTGTCTCCTGCTCTCTTCCTCCCTGGAACTTACTGGAATGAACACCTGCCTCCCACCTGTGCCCATTGGTTTGAAATCATGACAGGATTATCTTCTTCCTGGATCCCAGCAGGGAGAGCTGTGTTCCTGGCGGTCTGAGCTGGCACTAAACTTTGTCTCATGATGTTGTTACCCATGGGGCTCCTGTCCCCGAGTCTGTTGTTTTTCTTGCTTTGTGCCTCAGACACGCTTGTGGGTTAATGGGCCTCCCCATCCAGCTGGGGAACTGCCATTGCTCAACGTGTTTCCAGATGTCTAACTCTTACTCCTTCTCCAAAGATTGGTTCTAAAGGGCTTTAGGTGAATTTTACTCCCTCATTCATTCGATGGATATTTATTGAACACTACCTACGTGCCAAGTGCTATTTTAGGTGTTGGGACTGTAGCAATGAACAGTGAAGACCGTGTCCACTGTTATAGAGCTTCATTATCATGGGAGCACAGGCCATAACCAAGTGAAAAAGTCATGAACAAGGTAACTCCAGACGTGATAGGTGCTCTGTGGGAAACATGTTGGTTGATGTGACTGAAACCTTGGGAGTGCTTTCAGATTTGGGCCAACCTTGTTATTTTCCACATGACTTGGAGATACCAAGACGAAGTGGATGCATCCTCAATTCTGGTCTGATGTTCTTTTTGCAAACTATGCAGTTTGAGATGATGAAACCACCTTATTGGATCCTCTAGTTACAGCACACACCAAGATTTTTCCAGCTCACACTTTCTCGTAGATGATAAACTAGGTCAGCGCCTCAGTCCTTTCTGTTTATTTCACTTAAATTGCTGCTGCCTCAGAAAGGGGGTTGAATGGCCATTGCTGAGGCTGCATTAATAGCTGCAAGGTCTTCTGAAGTGTTTCTGTTTTCAGTGGACATGGATGAAGCTTGGCCATGTCCTAGTTCCTGAGGATATAAAAATGAAAAGCCATCATTATTGCACTTGGATTTTGGGCCTGATGGGGGTGACAGACTTGTAAATGAACAGTTCTAAGATCACATGATGACTGCTATTGTTCCTTGGAGTTAAGTGGAATTAAGCCACCTCTGGCCTTCTCTGAAGTCGCCTGCTCCACCCTGGGTACTCCTCCCTTCTTAATTTGGAGTCAAAGTGCTTTTCTCATGTAGGGAACAATTGTTCATGAGACCCAGAGGCATGGGGCAATTGATCTAATGCTGTGCTGGGTATCACTAGGTGTTGAACGGTCTCCCTGCGTAGTCTGAGTGAGAAAAGCCAGGTGCTTTTTCCTCTGATGTGGTGTAGCCAACTTATTTAGTAAACTACTTCATGTATCTTACTAGGTATAATGAAATTGTTTAGGGAAAGTAGGCTGAAGTAGATTCATTTGCATTTATTTTGGTGACGAGTGTAAGAGCTAGTCCTTAGAGGCCTAGGCACAAATCTGTTCCTGTGGTATCTGCAGACTAAAAGAACAGAAAGCAGCTTCCACGTGATTAGCACTTATATTTAGAAGAGGAATGAGCCCTGCATTATATACAGAAGTCTGAGATAATACCGCTTGGAGAGAATTAGCTGTGTCTACCTTTGTAAGGCCTTAAATCTTTAGAGCCCTTTTACACAATGCTCTCCAGTAAGCGTGATGAAACTTGGATTAAACATTTCTGTGATTTCTTCTTAGTGCTGGGGAGACCACCTACAGTCTGGAACATGCCGGTGACCTTCGAATAGAAGTGCAGAAAGTGTATGAGCTCATAGATGCTTTAAGGTAAGGTGATGTTTGACTCGCTGCCTTGAGTGGAGGAGATACGGTTTCAATGAGGGGGGTGGGTGGCTGGCAGGCCTGAGCTCACCCGGAGTCCTGGGGAGTATGTGTGAGGAGCCAGCTGAGGGTAGGCACCAGCTGTGGCTCTCAACACGTCTCAGTAACTTGGTTAAGGCTTCTAATGTTCCTTATTATTAAAGAAATAGGAACTGATTATTGACACCATCTTTGTGCCAACCATTGGTTGTATCCACATCTCATTTATTGGACCAAAGTTACCCGGTGTGGTAAGGATTAATACGCTCATTTTGTACGTGAGAAAATGCACCACAGCTGGCAAAGTGGTGGAGCCAGGATAGGAAGCCAGATTCTTTCTGCTGGTCAACAGTTGCTTTTTGACCATGGACTTGCTGTTGGGGTTAAATCAGCCCTTTGAAGTGTAGAAAGTATAATGATTTAGAGGGAGAACTGAGATGGGGCAGCCTTGTCCATCTGTCTGTGCAGGACTGGCTATGTAATTTGCGGACCTAGTGCAAAATGACAATGCAAGTCCACAGTAGGGATTATTAGGAAGTTTAAGACTGTGACAGCAGAATATTAAACCAGGCCCTGGCTACTCCCTCATGAAGTTGGCCCTACATGTGTGGCCAGTCCCTTAATGGGTGAGTGTTGGTTGTTTACCCTGTGCTGTGTTGGGGGCCTTGGGTACAACCACAGGGTAAGAAACGGGCTTTGCCTTAAAGGACACTTCGTGAAGTCTTTAACCTGTTTCCTCCACGGATGGTTCTGGCATGAAAGCCTGGCAACTCAGAGATTGCTCCCTTGTTTCTGGGGCTAGAAATGCTTGTTACATTGATATGTTTGTTCCATTTCAGTAAGAAGATCTTAACCTTGGGCTTGAACCAGGACCCTCCACCACATCCAAACACTTTGCGGCTGCAGAGGATGATCAGATACTCAGCTACGCTTTTTGTGCAGGTAAAGCCATCTTGGGGTGATAGGAACGTCTCACTTGCCTTCCCTGCTTTTCTGCCTCTCAGAAGGCAGACCGTGCCAAAGGCTTATTTCCTATTTGTACACTTACTTTTTAAAATTATAAATACAGTCATGTCACACTTAGAGAAAAATCTGGACTACAAAGAAGGGTAGAAACTTCTTAATTCTATGTCCCCAGGACCATGACACATCATTCTGGCATATTTTCCTTTTTTTTCATTTGTATTTGTTATATAAACACGATTAGTACATATTTGCAAATTTATGTTTTCTCTTTTTAACACTGAATTTTGTATCATAAACACTTTTTACATAGTCTTTGTTTAAATAGCTGTCACTTGAATGGCTACAGAATATGACTTTGCATGCACCATCCTTTACTCACTCTCCTTTCACCGGGTATCTGATAGATTCCCGTGTTTTGCTTGTATGAATACTGCCTGACAGACATACTTATACATGCCATTTCTTCCTCAGGATGAGCTCCTAAGGGACTCTTCCTGGGCCATTGCTTGGGAGGAGACAGCTGATTGTTCACAGACTGACTCACCCTGGGAGGTTAGAGCAGAGTTGTTTCTGCCTCAGCACACCTCTTGGGAGAGCCACAGTGAACCACCTCTGGGGCTGCATGATAGGGTGATCTACTAGAGCCCTGTTGGCTTAGTTTTCCAACACCGTATTGCAGAGAAGTGGGCCCTTTGTCCTTTTTTTTTTTTTTTTAAATGTTTATTTATCTTTGAAAGACAGAGACAGAGCGTGAGGAGGGGAGGGGCAGAGAGAGAGAGAGGGAGACACAGAATCCAAAGCAGGCTCCAGGCTCGGAGCTGTCAGCGCAGAGCCCGACACAGGGCTGAAACTCACAAACCACAAGATCCTGACCTGAGCCGAAGTTGGACATCTAACTGACTGAGCCACCCAGGCGCCCAGGCCCCTTGTCCTTTTGATTAGTGGTGTATTCAGCAGTCATGCGGTGAGTGCCTACTGTGTACCAGGCAGTGTTCTAGGTGCTGGGTGTCCTGCCATGAAAAAAGACATTCCTGTTCTTGTAAAATTTACTTTCTAGATGGGGATAGACCAGAAGTAACTAAAATATATAGCTTAGAAGATAGTGAAAAGTGCTGTGGAGAAACATAGAGCAGGGAAGGGGTAGCGGGCGTGCATGGGGCTCAGATGGAGGCTTACAAACAGACTTCATTAGGCTGATGTTCTTCCTGAAAAGATTAAAACATAAAATTGTCTGTGGCTTCCTACAGGAAAAGTTGCTTGGTTTGATGTCACTGCCAACCAGAGAACAGTTTGAGGAACTGAAAAAGAAAAGGAAGCAGGAAATGGAGAGGAAGAGGATCCTGGAGAGACAGGCAAGTGAAATGCTGCTGGCAGCCTCTTGGGCACAGAGGCTGCCCCAGGCTCCCAAGGGGTCCTCTGTGAGGTCGTGGTAAACCGCAACTTCTCGTGCTCTCCCGTTTGCATCTCTCTTCTGTTCTTTTCTGGCCTCTCCTCTGTAGATACCAGAATAGTTGTTTTTCTCCCCAGGTCAGTCCTATATTTCTTCAGAGATTCTGCTGATTTTCTCCCATCCAGAATACCATGGAGGCTGCCACTTCTCCCTGTAGCACAGATCTCAGGGGACCCAGACCTCAGGGAGCTCCTTGTAGAACGCTTTGGAAGATGCAACAGTAAACAGAATAATGTGTGCATTTAATATTGGGTGAGATTCTAGTGTAGACGAGTGATACTAGACCTCACAGGTTTAAGACCAGCATGTGGCCAGTGAATAATCTAAGATAGAGAAAATCTTACCCCTTAACTTACTATTATTTATGAATTTATTTTTGAAAGCCAGGCCATGTGCCTCCTCTCCCCTAAAGCACACAAAGCATGATCTGACTTAGCAGTTGGATCCCTGAGTCCTGAGGTGGGCAGTTGGAGTCTCATCAGCACAGGGGCGGTGGGACCGTAGGGGCAGCTGATGGTATGGCTGCTGTCAGCCTGGTGACTGTGTTTCTTCCCTTCGGCTTTGGCGTCTCCCCAGGCTGCCCTGGAATCCCAGCGAAGGCTTAAGGAACGGCGGAGTGACCTGGCGCCTCGTACGGCTAATGGGGAAGTGGCGTCCCTTCGAGGGGGGCCTGCCCCCCTGAGAAAGGCTGAGGGCTGGCTCCCGCTGTCTGGAGGTCAGGGGCAGAGCGAAGACTCAGACCCCCTCCTCCAGCAGATCCACAACATCACATCATTCATCAGGCAGGCCAGGGCCGCTGGGCGGGCGGACGAGGTGCGCACGCTGCAGGAGAATCTGCGGCAGCTGCAGGACGAGTACGACCAGCAGCAGACAGAGAAGGCCATCGAGCTGTCCCGGAGGCAGGCCGAGGAGGAGGACCTGCAGCGCGAACAGCTGCAGATGCTGCGTGAGCGGGAGTGGGAACGAGAGCGGGAGCAGTTCCAGGCCGCATCCCTACACACACGGACTCGGTCCCTGGACTTCCGAGAAATCCGGCCTTTCCAGCTGGAGCCTGGCAGGGAGCCTCGCGCCCACCTTGCTTATGCTTTGGATCTAGGCTCTTCCCCAGTTCAGAGCGGTGCGGCTCAGAAGACTCCTTCGCCCGTCTCAGCTCTCGAGCCGGTCAGAGTGTGGTCTGGGCCCCCAGCCCTTGGCCAGGAACCCCTCCCCCAGAGCACCGTGTCACAGCAGAGTGAGCTGGCCTCTCTAAACCCCTTCGAGGAGGAAGACCCCTCCAGCCCCACAGCAGACGGCACTACCAGCCCTCCGGCTGCAGAGCCTGCCTCTGGCCCTTCAGCCTGTGTCCTCAAAGAATACAATCCTTTTGAGGAAGAAGAGGAGGAGGCCATAGCAGGGAATCCCTTCACTAACCCAGACAGTCCAGCGCCCAACCCCTTCGATGAGGAAGATGAGTATCCCTGCCCGAGGCCCTCAAGCCCTCCTGTTCCTGGCAACCCGTTTGAGGAAGCCACCTGTACCAACCCCTTTGAGATGGACAGTGACAGTGGGCCAGAGGGCGAGGAGCCCATAGAGGAGGAGCTCCTTCTCCAGCAGATTGATAACATCAAGGCGTACATTTTTGATGCCAAGCAGTGTGGCCGCTTGGATGAGGTGGAGTTGCTGACCGAGAACCTGAGGGAGCTGAAGCGCACCCTGGCTAAACAGAAGGGGGGCACTGACTGACCCCACTGACCGCGGGCAGGGCATCTTTGGGCCCAGGGCCTGGCAGGAGCCTGTGGAGCAGGGCAGGGCTGGTGGGCTCGGCGGGCGAGAGGGAAGGGGGAAGGGTAACATCTAAGGTGTGCACACAGGTTAGGGCAGGGAATCTGCTGTTTCGTGCTGTGCACTTGGAGGTTTTTCCACTACAGTTGAATATTAGTAAAGTGGGAACCAGAACAGGAAGAATAAGCATTCATTTGCTGTATTTCCTGGGTTGGTTTTTTGTTACTTGTGTTTTGAATTGGGTTTTCCCTTTAGAAGGGATTTTAAATTTTCATTACCGACTACAACTAAATGCAGTTCTGCTGGGCAGTCTTCGTGAGTCCATGTGCTCCTGCCTAGTCTTTGGTCCTTATGCAGTATTATAGGGAAGCCTTAAATAGGGCACTTTGTTCAGCCAAGACAGACAAGGTGGATTCATTTAAACCTTTCTTTGGTCAGACAGAAGTCTGTCCCTATTAGGCTTCTTTCACCTGGGGCTTCCTCTGCCCTGCTGGGCACATCCCAACCCATGCAGTAGAAGGGGAGAGGTGCTGCATGAAGGCAATAGTTTAGACCCAGGAGAGCCCAGCACCTCTTTTTAAGAGGAGGTGGCAGGGGGTGATGTTTCACCAGGGTGTTTCCATTCAATTTAAGTCCTTGGTTGTCTGTTTCAGGAAGTTAAACTTCCAGTCCTGGCTATCACTGGGTCTGACCGTGGGCTGTTCAGAAGATGGGAGTGGTTAACTTTTTGGCTGATGGAGGCAGTAGTCTTTGGGAGAAGAGTGTCTACCCAAATGTTACTCTGTTGGAACTGAATAACTGATGGTATAATTGTCCCAGAGAAACCTCCCTCTAGAGCTTTGGTGAAATTATTCTGGCCTGGGCTTTTTCAGAGGGCCCAGTCTGTAATTTAGGATTGATATCAGGAAGCTTTTGTGGGACATTGCCAGGACAGTGGAAACTTCCTTGAGTCAGAAGATAAAATAATTTTCAGGGCAAGTTGATCAGCCTTCTTCCTTTTTGGGTCATCCTGTCCTGATCTGGGCACCAGGGAGGTATTTTCCTACCAATGTTTAGTATTAAGAAGTGGAAATGTTTGAAGAGGCACAAGCCAGGATCATTCTGGTAGCACCACACTACTTGAATTCTTCATCAAGTAAGGGCAAAAAGGGAAATTGTTACTTTAGCTCTGGTGCTTTGGTTTACAGGAATGTAATCCTTACCTGACGTCTGACATCATGATACCCAAGTGTGCTCAGCTCTAGGTAGAGTTCCTGCAATTAGGCTTGTTGATTAATGAACAATAACTGACCACTAGTCACTTTATATCTCTTAACTAACTCTGGGTCATACTCTCACTGGTTACAGGTGTGAGAGCTGAGATTCCTTTTGTTACCTTCTGGGAAGACCCCTGCTGGTCTTGAGAATGTTTGAAAAACATTGTGGTTTAAAGCTGATCTGTATTTGTGTTGACACTAGTCGCATTTCTTTAGCATCTGTTGGATTTTTGGGCTGAGTGAAAAGATCCTGTATAGGGGTGTGGGAATGGGAAGTGGGTGGAGGGTGTGTGGAGGACACTGTTCTGTTTGCAAACAAAGGAATATGAGTGGATTGCTAATATCAGCCAGTTACCAGCCTTGCTGATTGTGGTGGGGGTTGGGAAGTTGGCAACCAGGTCTGTAAGATGTTGCCTGGTACAGGCACCTTTCTTCCTTCTCATGCCCTTCCCGCTGTTATTATGGAGGGTTTCACAGATGGTTGGCATGCTCCCTGCTGCTCAGTCTGTCATTGCTCTCTGATTGAAGAGGAGGATACTCTCTGCACCAAAAAGCAGGTAGTTCCAGAAGCTAAATGCTGCTTTCCGTCATAATTACTTTTCTTATGAAAATATATCTCATAATTAGCTGGTGATTTCAATTCAGACTAGTTTACTGAACATACCCTTTTCCTGAAGTCAACCCAGGTAGCAATCTGTAAGTAACTAAGAGCATTAAGAACCACACACTTAAAAAGTTAAACTTAAAAACAAAACAAAACACTGAATATACTAAACCAAACTAAAACCTTCTGATGTGATTGAATTCTTCCATGGGTATATTCTTCCATTTAATTCTTCTATGGCTATATTCTATATAATCATAGACCTGACAGGAATTAGAATTCTCTATCCCTAACGTTTCTCAGAATTCACACAGGCACAAAGTTGGCTTTATAGAGATGAGTTATCATCAGGGTAAAGATGGCCTATGGGTTGCAACCACAGCTTCAAGTTCTTACCTCATGTGAATATTTTACTCTTCCCGCAGTCTTTCAAGGCAAACCACTCCATCTCATGAGAAGATGAGCAAGTTCTTTTTTTTTTTTTTCTTAATTATTCTTTTTAGTAATCTCTACATCCAACATGGGGCTTAAACTCATGACCCCGAGATCAAGAGTCCCAAGCTCCTCCGACTAAGCCAGCCAGGCACCCCAAAAGTGAGCAAGTTCTTGATGCGGTGTTGGCAGATCTCCTTAGACAAAGATCATGTATGGAAGAGACTTTGGGGATTCAGATATCACATGAAGTTGGCCTCTGTTTTCACACCTTGTTTGTATTTTTCCATGTCTAATACACTAAGGACATTTACTAATAGTACTTGCAGCTCAATGTGTCTTTGCTGTTCAGATACTAAAGTGTACTTCTGAGTCATCATGAGCCAGGTGGTAGGTTGGACATTGGCATAATTAGATGATGGTACTCAAAGGGAGAAGCTGGTCTCTTTGCCAGGTCACAGAATGTGGTAGCAGATTGTATGGGTCATTTGATGGTGACAGCTTGAGGGTCATTGGTTTGCATGCACTACTCTGGGGCCTTGTATTGGAATCTTTTTTTAAAAAATAAAATAACAGATGTTAGTGGTTGGGTGTATGTGTGTGTATGTCCACATGTGTTGCAAGTAAGAATTACCAGATCTCTGCCCTCACCCCTTTCTAGATGATCATCTGAGTATCAAAAGATACTGGACAGAAGGTCACTGGGCTCTTAACGGGATAAATGTGGGTTCCACTTCTGTCCTTAATCCTGGTTATTCCTGCAGTGTTGATTAAATGAGCTGTTTCATGCAAGAATAGTGCCAGACCCTTTACAATCCATCAACCTCATTTCATGCTAGAAGAAACTGAGGCTCAGAGAGGTTGAGGAGCTTAATGGCTGCCATTCGTGCCATGCAGTTTGCTACCTTTTCACATACCCCTTATTTAGCTCTACCAGCAGCAGGCCTGTGAAGTAGTTCCTCAGATATTCATCTGGCAGAGGAACAGATGAATTAAGAGAGGTTAGCCTGGCAGGGGACCACACAGCCAGTCAGTGGTAGAATGAGGATTTAAAGCTTGGGCTGCCTGACTCACTTTGCCCTAAGTAGCAAGAACAGTTCCATCTGGGTCAGGCACAGTGGGAGTGCCCAAGCACTGTGGCCTATGTATATGGACACTCCCGTTTCTAATGTGGGATGGGATACTGCATCCTTGGGGAGTGCCTTCTGTGGACTTTAAGGTCAAGAGCTCTTCTGCCTAAAACTCTTCAGTTTAGCACGGTTTTTAAAATACTTCAGGAAGGGGGAAAAAAATACCTTCAGAAAGACTTCTGGTTTCAGCTCAGGCATGCAAGGATTTTGAAAGTTGTCACTCCTTACCACAAGAGAAAGCTGGACAAACTGAAAATCAGCGACTCTTTGGACCCACCAGAGAACCGAGTGTGGGGTAAACTGCTGCTTCAAAACCTGGAGAGTCGTAGCAGACACCTGCTCACCTGGAGCAGAAGCCACTGGAACCTGGTAGGAACACTGGTGGAATGTGGGAGGCAGAGCACAGACTAGCATGGGAGTGAGGAACTCCTAGGGGCCACAGCTGAAGGGACATCACACACCTTTATGGTTTTATCTCCGGGAATGCCACCTGTGGCCTTAATTGCTGAGAGAGATCCCTGGTGGCTCTGGGATGAGTAATCTTTGTAAAATAAACTCTGAGCATTCCCCAGGGGAAATTACTGTACCAGAGTCTGATCCTACTCTGGGAAGGGCAGGTTTCTCCCACTCCCACACCCTCTGGCCTTTCCATCTCATCTAAGTGGGGGGAGGGTAAAAGAAAACTTGTTTATACATTCTGCTACTCACACATGCTAAATGTGTGTTTTTCCCCACACTAACCAGTTCTTGATACCGGCTAGATGTCTTCCAAATTCAATTTTGTTCTGACATAATTCATCTGGAGTTAGCTAAGGGCTTAGCCCCACAAGACTGCCCCCCCCCCACTTTATTTTTTTTTATTATTTTTTTAACATTTATTTATTTTTGAGACAGAGAGAGACAGAGCATGAACGGGGGAGGGGCAGAGAGAGAGGGAGATACAGAATCGGAAGCAGGCTCCAGGCTCTGAGCCATCAGCCCAGAGCCCGACGCGGGGCTTGAACTCACGGACCGTGAGATCATGACCTGAGCCGAAGTCGGACGCTCAACCGACTGAGCCACCCAGGCGCCCCATCCCCCCACTTTAGATGCCAATCACAAGTGTAAGCATCTGGTGCTTCTGACTGATGGCCTATAAGTTAGGGTTCCCACAAGCCTCTCGTTGAGTCTGATAATTTGCTATAACGGCTCACTGGATTATTGGCTAATTATAAGAGAATACAATTTAGGAACAACCAGAGAGAAGAGATGCATAGGGCAAGATATGGAATAAGGGGCAGAGAGCTTCCATGACCTCTGTAGGCACACCACTCTCCCTGCACCATCACTGATGCGTTCACCCTCCCAGAAGCTCTCCCAACTCCTTTGGTTAGGGTATGTTTTAATGGAGGCTTCATTACATAGGCATGATTGATTAAAGTTATTGTCATTAGTGATTAACTCAACCTCCAGCCCCTCTCCCAGAGGTTAGAGGTTAGGGGTCTGGGGCTGAAAGTTCCAACTAATTATCTGTGGCAACCAGCCCTCTATCCTTAGGGG